GCTTCCGCCTCACCCTCTAACATGTAAGTACCGAACCTCACCTTCTGCTCATCGCTGCAACCCATCGTCCTGAAAATCTTATCAATCGCCTTTAGCTACTTCTGTGCAGCTTCAGGATCCAAAATCCCTCCTTGAAACGTCAGCGGCTTATTACTCTGAAACTGCGCCAAATCTCTGAATTGCGCACCCGCAGCTTGGTTCTGATTAGCAACCACCTGCGCCATCGCTTGCATAGCTGCAGCCAACGCGACATCATTCCTTCCCGCCATACTGCTTAACAACAACAACACCAGGTTAACAGACAAACAAACTCTATCCTACAGACAGACTCAACTACTACACTGGCCGGACGAACCGACTTGCTCTGATACCAACTTGTAACACCCCGTTCCCAAAAATAAAATAATAACAATTAAATCAAACAATTAAATATCAAAGAAGTCACACCAAAACGGGATATCACAAAAGAAGCTCCACAAAACACTTCATTAAATGACTTCTCAACACATATATAGATATATACAGTAGAATCATCATTCATATACATATATACACATCATACTCGGACAACTGCCCAAAATACACAAGATATTCACCAAAAGATTCATCAAAACATGATACACCACAGGGGCACACAAAATCATCAGAAAACAAATAACTCCCCAAAGCCCCGTGTTACGTATCAGAGCATCCCTACGACTCGACACGCCACAATCCAAGCTATCTACGCACCTGGATTATCTGTACTTCCGAAGAAGCACAGACAACAACAACAGCAAGGGGTGAGAAATCACGATCAAAATGTAACGGTAATAATGTACATGAATAAAAGTCAGTAAATCATACAAATATTATTCAACATGCGTCAATCCAGACCTACTGTCTAACACCAACACAACACACACACACACACACACACACACACATATATATATATATATATATATATATATATATATATATATATATATATATATATATATATATATATATATATATATATATATATATATATATATATATATATATATATATATATATATATATATATATATATATATATATATATATATATATATATATATATATATATATATATATATATATATATATATATATATATATATATATATATATATATATATATATATATATATATATATATATATATATATATATATATATATATATATATATATATATATATATATATATATATATATATATATATATATATATATATATATATATATATATATATATATATATATATACGACAATGCAAACATATGCAACACAACACCATGATATGAGGTACCGACTCACTGGTTCGTTCAATCGAACCCGGATAGATCGCATACACCCACCAATGGCAACGATCTATCCCCAACAAGCCCCCTTCGAAGTACGGGCAAATAACCCGGAATAGATCACATACACTCCATCCGAGCAATGATCTATCACTATCATGCTATGCACACACCAATGCACAACAACAATCCACGCACACAAGGTGCACATGATCCATCTGATCACATTTATCATGATTCATATATATATATATATATACACACATACTCCACAAATCACCACATCCATGTTTACTAATTCAATTATTCTAATTAATCGATCAACAAGGAAATCACATTCTAACATCATACATACACTCTCCACAGTTCCACATCAATCTCATATTCAATCATGACCAACAAGAGTCCAATAACACTAGAGAACAGAACAGAACAGCACCAAAAACACAACATATTGTCATGCTCGCTGGCTCATTCGCCTGGCGAGGCCCCACAGCGAACGCTCGCTACCCGTTCACTTGGCGAATCCCCCAGCGAAGACTCGCTACTAGCTCGCCCAGCAAACTCCCTAGCGAATGCAGACAGTGGCTACTGGAAGCACTCGCTGCCCAGCTCGCCTGGCGAATCCCTAGCGAAGGTTCGCCACTAGTTCGCCTAGCGAAGGTGCTAGAGAACGCCTGCGATTTCACAAAAATTCTACTGTGCATAATCGGCACAGCTCTCCGAAATCAGCCGATTACGCGTAAACCAGCTTCCACCATAACAGACCAAGATACTACAACCTAGTTACGCAATCTAATCTCGATTCTACTCGATAAAACCTTAGTTCTACTCATTAACTCGTTTCCAGCATAAACATTGCAAACTACCGAAATACCCTAAATCATCCAAACAATCACATGCAACAAGCTTATCATAACGGCAACAATATTCAGAATCACCACAACATAACAACAGAATCATCAAAACGTATGGGGTGAGGGAAACCCCCTTCTACCTAGAATTCATGCAACTACCGAATTTGACCTGATTCTCCCCCCTTACCTCGATAACTCAAACAAGCTGATGAAACTCTTGAAGAATCAGAATCCTAGCTTCCTCTTGATTCTCCTCCTCCTCACTCTTGCTCCAATTAACCGTGTTCTTCTTCCTTCCAATTCCTCTTTGATCGTGTTTCACTTCTTCTAACGTGTTCTCCTTCTCTCTTTTTTTCCCAATTCTTTCCCAAACAGCCCCTAATACCCCTTACTAATTCTCTTATTCCATTAATAATATTAATAATATTATTAATAATAATAATAACAATAATAGTAATAATAATAATATTAATAACATTACTATTATTCATTTAAAGTATTATTATCATTAACAATTATATTATTAATCTTAAGGTCCAAAGTCATCAATTAAAGTAACACAAAAAAACGAGATAATTAAAATGGGCGTTACACCAATCATCACAGCTTGATGGACACTGGGCCATCAATCGTCCAAAGATCCCCATCAATGGGATCGATTCTACTAAAGAACCGGAGCACATCAAAATACCTCAATCCACACAATGGGATTGAAGCCAACATAATCGAGGTCCTGAACCGAAGTCCGGATGCACATGAATGCATGATGCACACTTCACAATAAATCACATATTAACAGCATATGGTGCATCATCATTCGTCATATTCATCATCATCATATAAAACACATAAACTATCATATCTCATGTTATCATATAGTTCACTCTAAAAGTCATGGTAATATCATCATATTAGTTCAATCAATACATCATAGAAACATCATAACATCACACACATTCACCCAAAACCCATTGTCGTACTCATGGTAATCTATCCCAGAATTCCCAAGATCACACCTCAAGGCACTACAGCACAACGATCAAATTTCGCGAACTCTGCTACGTTCGCTAGTTTGCTCGCTAGGCGAGCCTCGTAGCGAATGTTCGCTAGCTCGCTCGCTAGGCAAACTCATGGAGAATGCTCGCTGACTTGCTCGTTAGGCGAGACTGGTGGCGAACGCTCGCTAGATTGCTCGCTAGGCGAACAACCCGATATCAACAAAACCTGTTACGACCAGAACTGTTGTTTGCCCAATTTCTTATACGATTCACATACCCAAAGTCCCCAAAACATCCTAAATTCATCCCTAAGGTCATACAGAGATATCAGTACAACATCTATGGTTTATTAGGCCAATCCGGCAACATTTGCACTGCCTAAAACACTATTTCCTGCAATTGTTCTAAGTCCATCAGAGTTACTCACATTACACATTTCCTACTCCTATAGGGTCAAACATAATACGATCCAAGGTTTTTGATCATGAATGCCTAAGGTTTCTTAGTTTCATCTCGATATTCAGTATTACTTACTATCAACCATAATCTCAAAGCTTCATCAACAGTTTCCTCAATTTCCCACAAGTAACCCAAATTATCTCCAATCCTAATTCAACTGCAAATACCCCGAAAGGCATACATAGAAAACCTTAAAAAGCAATACTCCACATACCTTAGTCGATTGCAGCTTTCACGGTTAATCTTTGGGAACCTTCTACTTCCAACTTTTCCTTCAGAGCTCTGGCCACCAATTTCCACGGTTAACACAAAAATGAAATCTAATTTTTCCTTCAGAACTCAATTTTGTGTAACTTAGTCTTGGGCCTCACTAATTGGCTTTTTCCCTCATTACCCTTACTAACTCCCTCAATTGCCCAATTTACCCTTATTCCACTTATTTCAATTTAATTAAAAATAATACTAATAAATCAATATTATATAATATTAATCAAATAAATTCCCTAAAAAGCACAATTTCCAATATTTCGATAATTTTGGGGCGTTACACAACCCGTAGTTAGGTGAACTACGATTGCTCTGATTCTATCCTAGTCAGGATACGTAGGCACGAGATGCGACGTCTTGGCGAGCATACTTTGTATATACCTTAGGTCTTTAATTTAGCAGTAACCTTAGCAAGCAAACTTTAGCATAACACAAAACTCGGTGGTGAACTTCATAATTTGTGATTCAAGTTAATTAATAGTTTGATATCTGATTCTCACCATTGACGAACTAAGAGCTGACGACGCATTGCTGACTGTTGATTTCTTTCTAATCTGATAAGATTATATGTATATATATATATTTTGCAAATCAAATATATCATATATTAAATTATATATTTTATATATTATAATATCTGCACCAAACATACCCTTAAAATTAACGTACAATTTAAACAATATATATTTTTTCTGATATGCTTTGAGAGAGTACTTTTATATTTATTCTTTTAACTTAAATATTTTGTCATAATCATAATAGGATTTAATGAAGATCCAATGACAAAATAAGAAAAAGATTGCACTGTCCTTCAATAAAAATATATTACTCTTAAAAAGTTCAATACGGATATAAGATGATGTGTAAAAGACATAGTTTTTTTGATGTACTAAATATTCATCTCCGCTTGGTCTAAACCGCCAACAACTATGCATTCTATTGCACCACAGCCGCATCACCGCCGTGTAGCCACCCAACCATGAAGTCGCTGTTTTGGCCCTCTTCAACCGGCAAGAATAGATTGAAGGTAACAAAAAAAATTGTATTCATATTCAATATCCCTTTCAATATTTTTTAATTTCATTCAACTTTCACTCCATCGACCAATCATGTTCAACTTCAATAGAACCCTAATCTATCTGAAGGGATTAACACTATCCCCAAACCCTAATCCTCTTCTCCACCACTACCCATCACTGTTCTCTCTTCATTTCTGCACCAACACTTCCGATTCAACCTCATTTGCTGCCTCCTACCTCATCCACAATTTCGGTTTCTCCCCACAATTTGCTTCCAAACTCTGCTCCACCCACCGTCTTCGATTCAAGACTACCCAAAACCCTGACTCTGTTCTCAACTTCTTCACAAACCATGGTTTCTCAGACTCCCAGCTCTGCAATATGATTTCCAAGGTACCTGGGCTACTTTGCTGCAACCCCTCCAAAAGGGTGTTACCAAAGTTTCAATTTTTACTCTCCAAAGGTGCTTCTAACTCTGACATTGTTAACCTTGTCAGTAAGAACCCTAGAGTCTTGTCTTGTAGCTTGGAGAATCATATAGTCCCAACCTATCAATTGCTTTATAGATTCTTGCAATCAGACAAGGACATTATTGCTTCTGCAATTCAGAATCCAGATTTACTCTGTTACCATATTGTGCCGCGTAACATTACAATGCTGATTGAGAATGGAGTGTCTGACTCAAATATTGCAAGATTGCTTCGGCTTCGGCTTCGGAGTCCGACATTAATGGCACGCGACACAATGAAGTTTGTGGAGGAAGTGAAGAATTTGGGGTTTAATCCTCTTCTCCACCACTACCCATCACTGTTCTCTCTTCATTTCTGCACCAACACTTCCGATTCAACCTCATTTGCTGCCTCCTACCTCATCCACAATTTCGGTTTCTCCCCACAATTTGCTTCCAAACTCTGCTCCACCCACCGTCTTCGATTCAAGACTACCCAAAAACCTGACTCTGTTCTCAACTTCTTCACAAACCATGGTTTCTCAGACTCCCAGCTCTGCAATATGATTTCCAAGGTACCTGGGCTACTTTGCTGCAACCCCTCCAAAAGGGTGTTACCAAAGTTTCAATTTTTACTCTCCAAAGGTGCTTCTAACTCTGACATTGTTAACCTTGTCAGTAAGAACCCTAGAGTCTTGTCTTGTAGCTTGGAGAATCATATAGTCCCAACCTATCAATTGCTTTATAGATTCTTGCAATCAGACAAGGACATTATTGCTTCTGCAATTCAGAATCCAGATTTACTCTGTTACCATATTGTGCCGCGTAACATTACAATGCTGATTGAGAATGGAGTGTCTGACTCAAATATTGCAAGATTGCTTCGGCTTCGGTGTCGGACATTAAGGGCACACGACACAATGAAGTTTGTGGAGGAAGTGAAGAATTTGGGGTTTAATCCTTCGAAAATAATTTTCTCAGTAGCATTGATTGCCAAATCATCGGTAAGAAAAAACTTATGGGAGGAAAAAGTTGAAGCTTTTAAGAAGTGGGGTTGGTCTGATGAAGATGCTTTTGAAGCATTTAGAAAAAAACCTTATTGTATGTTAACTTCCGTTGTTAAAATAAATTTAGTGATGAGCTTTTGGGTAAATCAGTTGGGTTGGGATGCTATCGCCATTGCCAAAACACCATACATTTTATCCTTGAGTTTGGAAAAAAGGATAATTCCGAGGGTTGCTGTTGTGCAATTTCTTCTCAGTAAAGGTTTGACAAATAAGAATGCAAGCTTAACTTATCCATTTGTTGTGTCTGAGAAGATGTTTCTGGATATGTTTATAAAACGTTTTAAGAACGAGTCTTCTTATCTATTAAAGTTGTACAAGGAAAAACTCAATCATACATACACTAGGGATAAGACATGCATGCTGTGATCAGGAAGTCTTACAATTATATCTGAATAGGTTGCTTGCAAATACCAAAATTGCAAGTGTAATTGTGGCTGTGGTGAAATTGTGGAGATCTCTCACACCTCAATATTGAAGCTTCAAATCTACCATTGCTGTTGTGGACTACAATTATTTAAAACAGTTGCAGACATATTTTGTGCCATAGTCATGCCAGGTTGATTTTGTCACATTTTGGCATCTAGTTATAAACTGCCATTGACCTTTTGTCCATGTTATGTATTTAATGTGATGTCTTCTGTTGTCACTGCAGTTTTTTTGAGCTATTTATAGGTCTATGTTTGTATTTTTGGTATCATTTTTATTGGTTGTCAACTGCCATTTTTTTCTTTTTAATTAGGCAGCAGTTTTGCAGAAATTAGATTCAATACTCCTGAAGTGAAGGTTTGGAATGTAAGAGTACATGGCACTGAAACAGTTTTAATTGTATTTTCCAAATTACTATGGTGGCAGAGTTTTTAGGAAACTTCAATTTGAATAAGCTTGTTTTGATGTTTGATAGTTGCGCAAAATGTTTGGCATTAGCATAGGATGATGTCATGTGTCTGTTGATTGTTATTGACAACAAAATTACTGTCTGCACTATATCCATTATCACTCATGATGCTACTACTCTCAAAATTGAAGATAGAAGTCACACGTCCCTTTTTAGAAGAAATCGTGACATGTTGCTCCTTTCACGTCCTTGTTTTTTTTTTTTTTTGGATTTTTTTTCTTTCAAATCCTTAACTGAAGCAAAGCCTGATGAGTCTATGAGAAATGTTGATTGTTGGCATTTTAAATCCTTTCATCTATGTTGAGAAATGTTGATTGTTGGCATTTTAAATCCTTTCATCTATGTTGAGAAATGTAGAGTGTTAAAGGAAACATGAAATATGTGAATTAACATCTCAAATAATGTTCTTCACCCTTCATAGTGTGTTCTTAAAATTATATAGTTTCCAATTCTCTTAATATATTCTCAATTACTTTACTATTATTTTTGGAAATTTCTTAACCTACCTTATATATATTATCAAGCCTTATATATATTATCAAGGCACTACGTGAAAATACAAAAGTATCTCCAATTTTCATAGATGCATCTTCAAATGCAATTTGAGTATATATAATTCTGAAATAACTTTAAAAAACTCTGTAAATGAATATTCAAACTTATTTCGGAGATGCATCTTCAGACAATTTTGGAGCTTAAATTGCATTAGAATCCTTCTCATTCCTCATTTCTAAAAAAACAAAATTTTCTCCAACTCTAAAAAAAATCCATAAACCAAATTCAAAATCAAACAACCAAACTCAAAGATTCTTCAATTAACATCTAGTATATCAGAGATATCATCCAACAATGAAATAAAGTCTAAATTTGTAAGTTTTTGATATTCTGAATTTTTTTATAGATTTTTTTAAATGGATAGAAATTGATGATTTAGGTTAGAAATAATAAAAATTGCATGAATGGTAGTTTATACATATTATAAAACATATTTGTTGGTTGAAAATAACGATTAAATCATTATTTTTGGGGTTTGAATGTCTGCATTTGTTGTCATTGAAGGACCTGAAGAGTTGCAAAAAATTTCAGAGATGTGTCTCCGGAATTTTTCAATGTTTGAATTCTCATTATCCGAAGATGCATCTCCGTAAATTATTTGCATGTTTTAATTATATATATTTTTTCTTTTAATTTTATTGATTGTACGGTTGCTTGTATCAATTGTCTGGTTTACTTATAAGCATTATGGCTGATAGAGACTGTTAAGAGTCTCACATAGGACAATATATGGCATGAACATGTGTTTATAAGTGGGAGCAATTCTCACTCTACCAACCAGTTTTGTAGGGTTGAGTTAGGCCCAACAATATTTTTTAACATGGTATCAGAGCCTCGTTTGAGATTCGGTGGACCACCCGCTATCAGGTTTCTGCTATCGAGCAAATCCACCATTTATTTCCACGCTTCAGATGTTCAGTCCTGAGAGTGAGGGGGTGTGTTAAGAGTCTCACATCAGACAATATATGACATGAACATGTCTTTATAAGTCGGGGCAATCCACACTCTACCAACCGATTTTGTAGGGTTTAGTTAGGCCTAACCACATTTCTTAAGATAGACGATATAATGTAGGCATGACAATGAAATCCAGACCCGCCCATACCCTCCACAAAATTAACAGGGGAAACTCGGTTTAACTGGGTGCGGGTGTAGGTAAAACTCGATTTTCTATTACGGGTGCGGGGGCAGGGAGGGGGGACTCGTTCCCCATTGGGGATGGGTGCGGGGGGCGGGTCTGTTTCGGGGAGGCGGGTGCGGATGCGGGGGCTGTTTAAACCCGCCTCTGACCCGCCCCGTTGTCATGCCTAATATAGTGAGGTACAAGAGGTTGCACAACATGCATCAGTGCGGAGGGAGAACATTTAGGTTTTTGAGATTCATGTTCACTCTAGCCATGCAGAGGCATCTACTTCTGGGGCTCATGCTTTTCCATCTTCTTTTTTCGTAGCAGACGAGTTTCACCTACCGACGTATCACTTCCTTCATCCTCCCGCTGGCGATAGGTTTCACCTATTTAGGCGCTAGAGGTACCCGTGTCACCGGTGGTACCTGAGGCACCAGTGCCACCTCCGACTGATGAGGCTTATGAGCCAGTGCGACCTATGACTGGTGGTGCTTCTGAGCCAGTTCCACCTTCAGATGGTGAGGCTACCAAGGATGATGAGTCAGAGCCACCTCAGGAATTTGGAGGAGGCCTTGTAGAGTTGTCATTGCTGCCTCTATACCTAAACCATACTGCCAGACATATCTGGAACGGAGAGGTAATATTAGTTGGACTCATTCTTTTTAACTTACGCTTATTATTATATTATAACCTTTTAGCTTCTTTTTTTTTTTTGCAGGACCGTCATCCACTGAAGTTTAATACCCATGAGCGGAAGATTATTGGCTTGCCTCAGCCGAACGAGGAGTGGTTTCAAGCTGCTTTGTCCCTATCTAGGACAAAGGACTTGTGCATGACCGGTTATATTACGATCAACCAAAGATGCTTAATGCATTTGTGGAGAAATGGCATACCGAAACCTCTTCATTTCATCTCTCGCTTGGTGAGATGCCTTTCACACTCAACGATCTGTCGTATTTGTTGCATCTTCAGATCAGGGGAAAACTTCTAGATCGTGGGAGTATTAACATAGACGAGGCACTCAAGATGATGGTAGACTATCTAAGAGTTAACCTAAAGGATGTCATGAAGGCGTTTGAAAAAACCAGAGGATGCCATGCTTAGTTTGAATTCATGAAAAAAGTATATACATATGACATCCTTAGAGCCGAGGAGGCTATAAGCGATTACGAGCTGGTGAGGATCCATTGAGCATATTCTATGAGAGCATACCTTCTATATTTGGTTGGCACAACTATTTTTATGGACAAGAGTGTCACATATACATATGTCGTCTACCTATGAGTACAACTAGGGGGTCGCTTGTTTGGTCTACTTGTACTCGAAGTTATCATAAGGCTATAGGTGAAAGACGAAGCAGGTCACATGTAATATCACACTACTGGTGGTAATATTTATTAGTCTTTTAATGTTTCTATGTCATTTTCACTTCATTTTTGCAACGCCCTTACTGTTGATTTTTGTATTCCAACACTTTTCAAACTTGAATCCTTCAGCACTTCCCATGCATCTCCGACTGGTCGTGTGTACCTAATTACACTAAGGATATACCACGTGCTTCTGCCTTTTCCCAGTTCAGATAGAACCAGGCAGTAGAGTCGTTTAAAGTGTATCTTAACTAATTGGTTGTCGAGGATATGCACTTTAACAGTTATGTCGATCATCGTGAGACACGACCATTTGACGACATATTGTTATACTCTGGATGGTTGGCTTGAAGCTCACATCTTACATTTCCTCATCTTCCTTAGCGCGTCATTGGTAAGTGTCCAAAAACGAGTATGACAATACAAAAATGTTGACACTTATAAGGCCATAAATATGAAATCCTTAACAAATACCATTGTTTTAGTTAGAAAATAAAGATAGGAAAATGAATGGTTACCTTTTGATGTTTGATGTGAATTGGTGCAAGAAAAATCACCCAACATAAACCAAGAAACCAAAGAAGTAAAACTAGCTCGCCACAAGGGCATTGCAGCGCACATACAATGAGCAGAAGAAGAAAAACACGAGCATGGCACTGCAAGCTCGCTGCAACACGCTTCAGGAAAATCATAATCAAGAAATATCCAGTGGGGTCTCGCTGCCAGCACGCAGGTGGCGCAAGTGCGATGTAGCACAATTTTCTGCGCAAAGCGCACTTAGGCGTCCAAATTCAAAAAGACGGTTTAAGAGGATTATTTAGGGTTAAGTAATGAAAGTGTGCTGCGACAAGGAATTATGAGCAGAGCGAGGGTAGCAACTTTTGGAAAAATTCTATAAATAAAGGACTTGGGTCATTTAGAAAGTCATTCCATTTTTCAGATCTTGAAGTCATAATAGTATTGTAATAGTTTAAGAAAGGAGAATAACAAGGATAGAGTTGGATTCACATCAAGAATCGAGAAATCGTCGTTGATGCACATTCATCTCCAATCCTTCTTTTATGTACAAGCTACTGTGACAAAGGATAGCTAAACTTCTTCTCTTTTTGGAATTGAAAAGAATCTACCGTAATCGTATGTATACTTATTGATTATGCTTTCAATATAAAAATGTTTTCATACTTATAAATTTTATCTTAATATTGTTGATCATCTTATGTATTTGAATTGTTATTGAAAAATACTTTCAGATCTTGAATCAAGATAAGAATCGATTAAACACTAATTACTAGACATAGAATCAAGGTTTAATATCCACCAATGAATATATGTTCTTAATGCTATCAGATTGTTTAATAAGATTGAGAAATCATCAATTACACAAACTGATAGAAATATCAAACGATCGCATAGACATATGTGT